CTAAAGCAAGATAGAATTATTAATTTTCTGTGTGTGTGTGTGTGTGTGTGTGTGTGTGTGTTTCCACTGAGACTTGGTTGAAAGCAGCTGTCAGGAGACTTTCTTCAGAGAGAATCACCTTTCTCTGTCAGTTTTTCTGCCTGTCTCCTTAACAGACAAGAGAAAGAGAAGGATTTTATGATCCATAAAGTGCAGTACTGTGATGTTGCTGAAACAGAAGATACTAAATACGACGTCGTCCTTACTTGTCAGAGGCGACAGATTCCATCGACAGCGAGGCGATGGCACTGACGGCCTCGCTGTCCGAGTCTCGTCTCAGCCGTCGTCTCTGCGCCTGCAGGTAGGACAGATCCACTGTGGCGGCCGAATCCTTCACACTCTGCCAGTACTCACCTGCAGGAGGCAGGAAGATTAAAAAGAGGGAGCAGAGGAAGGAAGGAGAAAGATTATTGGCCTCAGTTGTCGGTATTTCAGTGCTGTTTTCATGCTGAATGGTTCCTTGAGGGAAAGTGCCTGCACTGCATTATTAAAAAGCAGTACTTGGTGTTTGATCCACCAGTTGTAGATGTTTGATCTGAATATAAGCATTGACTGTGATATAAACAGCCCATTGTCTAAATGTCCATGTTGCTAATTTCAGAAATGTAAACTCAAATTCAATATGTTCTCTCAAGGTCTCCAGGCTTGGGTCCTGTGACAAACAGTGGAAGTAAAAATCAATCAGTGTTTGCAAATGTGTCCGTCTATGAGCGTGTGTGTGTTCTGGCTGTGCATGCAACTCACATTTATTTCACCCCGGGCCTAAATTATGGGCTTAACATTCTTGTGGCTTTGCAAATATTTTTAATTAATCTAATTTGGTTGGGATAACATTTGTGTGCAATCAGGAGGGGATGTTGCGAAGGTCGTGTGCCAGAGAAGTGTTTGAAGATAATTGGAGCCAGGGCGGCCGTATGTGTGTGTGTCTGTCTGTGTGTGGGACGGCTGGAGGGAGGGATGGGAGACAGGGATGTAAAGGAGGAGAGGTGGCCAGAAAGCTGGGGGGATGAGGAGACAGAGGGAGGTGCTAAGTGAAGAAATAAGGAGACCAAAGTTACAGAGAATCGAAATGCAAAAAAAGAAGTTTTGAACAGAACTCGGTTATTTTCTGTTAAATGTAAAGACGAAAATAATCAAACTAGAATGTGACAAATACTACTTTTTTTTATCAAACCAATTTTTTTTTATCTAAAGTAAAATGTTTTTAGTTTTCAGTTTCAATACAAATTTTAAATGTTACTTTGGACGCCCTGTAATTATAACTGTATTGCAATTTTACTATCCCTCCTCTGATGCTCTTCCAGAGGTGCCTTTCTTTTGACGTTAAAGGTTTTTTGAGGAGTTTTTCTTGTCTGAATAGAGGGTGTAAAGATAGAGGATGTCGTATGCTGTACAGGTTGTACGGAAGCTCTGTGTCATTTGGGGCTATATCAATAAAAACTGACTTGGCTTTAAATGCCGCCATGGATGAGGTGGTGAACATAAGGTGGGTGAACATATGTATTTCTTTGATCTCATCTTCAAATAAAAGCATGTACTTCAGCCAACACCAAGGAGCAATAACAACCTGGCCAATACAAAGCCTTTCCTGAAAACCCCATTTTCTTGGTTTATATTGGAAGCCAACTGATGGAAATATATTTATCTGACTTTTACTGCAAAATTTCTACAATGTACATGTACATTTGCTTGACAACTGAAGCAGCGTATGGCTGACTGTGACTGAGAGAGAGAGGAAGTAAAGGCAACTGATACAGATAATGGAGGTGAGAGGAGAAATCGTGCAGTTACAGGTTAGATAAAGAAAGATGACAAAAAGGAAGAATGGAAACAGCAAATGAAGGCAGTGAACAGTTTTTACTTGTTTCTAAGTGCAAACAGCTAGTAGAACTACTAGGGGAATAACAGATCAGCACCAGTGTTCAACATATGGATGTTCTCTGATCCCCCTGTCAATGTCACAATCTAATTCTGGTCTCAGAATAATGAGAAATAAACTCCATCTTTAAATATTGAAAGGTGAAGAGCAGCGTGATGCGACAGTGAACAGGCAGCTGATACTGGTGCTGCTGGCTTGGACACCGGAGCCAGTTGGAACTTCTGAACTCTGCGGTTCTGCTCCTCCTCTCCATATCTGAAAAACCTAATTTATGCCTTATGTCCTTTTTTTAGAAGTTCTTGAATTTTGAGACAAAATAATAACATGGGGTTTGGGGATATGCTTGTCTGCTGCTATTTTACAAATGAACCGAACAGTTACATCAACGGTTAAATCTTTTCAGAAGATTTACTGCCTGCACAATCTACACGCGTCACTGTGTTCTTCTTTATTTATTTTTTAACATCTATTAAGTTCCTACAGTTTTTGCTGACCACCCCGCTCAGAGCATATTTGGGGGTCTGTAATTGACTCAGAGATTGCTGGGTAACAGGTCGGCTCCAGCAGGTTGTAAACATGCAGCACTCTGGACAGAAGATGAAAAATGTCCTCCCATAGGCATATAGGATTAAAATATGTTGTTAATGTTGATGATTTATTTATTTATTTTTCTCGACTGAGATTTGCTGAGCACTGCTTGTTGTTTGCAAGACATCTCAAGACTCCGATGCTACAGGTTGTGTTGTGTGTGTTTAGTTCTCACCCTGAACCTGGATGACTCTCTGCAGTGACTCGACAGCATTTTCACAAGGCTTCTGGTCCAACACCGACTGGGACAGTGGCTCCACCTGGGACACAACAAGAGGTTAGTAGCTGAAACATACTGTACATCTCTATAGAAACACACGGATGTACTGTACATACACATCTCACCTCCATGCCCAGCAAGGCACTGACGCAGGCCTCAGAGGCATCGCAGATGGCCTTGAGGTCATGTCCCCCCTCCAGAGCCAGGACCACCCGACCCCCGGCCAGTGACATCAGCTGACGAGTCAGGAAGCCAAAACCTGGTAGAGAGCAACACACATACACAGGATGAGCCAGATGATGACTAGTGAGGGATTTCTCTCTAGATACTGATTAAGGAGATTAAAGCATTCCTTCAGTGTTGGTGAAAGTTAGTGTCATTTTACACACCAGCCTGTAACTCACAAAACTGTTGTTGATGTTTACATGCTGGTGTCACCATCATTAGTTCAGCCATTCCCTTCCATTCAGATCAGTGCTCAAATGCACAATTTACAACTACAAGATTTAGGATTCAAAGGCTTTATTGTCAGAAATAAACAAGTTATCAATGCAATGAAATTCTTATTCCGCTATTCACACATTCATACATACTGAAGTAGACAAGGTGGTAATGGTTTAAAAAAAGTAGTTCCTGAAAACAAACATTTTCTCAAACCAGTGCGCCAACAAACTTTACTTTCTCTCCGTAGTTTCACTCAGGAAGTTTGGGCTGGTTTAATTAAAACTCCTGTATTACACAGTGCTTCTCACCTGATGCTAATGTCTGACATCAATGAGCTATTCAGCTGTGAACCACCTGAAAACAGTCTGTGAGGAATGAGCCAGCTTTATGGTTCTCCAATTTGTCTCATAAATTAGTTGGAGCTACCTATTAACACAACAATCTGCTTAATGTCTGCTATTGTGCTGCATTCAAAATGAGGACAAATAAATATTAATTCTAACCAGAGGTACAAAATAAAACAAAAGCAGGTTCATATGAGGCAGAAATGAATCAGGAAACTAAGGCTCACTTTCACCAACAGCAGATAGATCCTTCATTAAACTAAAAGTGTAGATATGTAAAAAATAAGCACAACAGATTTCAGTCTGTGCATAAGACTTTGTCAGTGTGACTGTGTGCTTCATGTGAATGAGGGGCTGATGGAGCCTTACACTTGGCTGTGACCTTGTAGCCTCCCAGTGATGATGAATGTCCTTCGACAGCATCAAAGCCAGCTGACACCAGCACCACATCAGGAGAAAACTCGTGGGCAATGGGCATCACCACGGCTCTGAGGACGAAGGGAGGAAACAACATTCTGTAAACCAAATACTGTATCCATTTTACATTCATTCAAACCCTGTGGCCTGGCTGAAATTAGATAGTACATTTAAGAAATGTGTTTTCAACAGGTGTTCATAATTTGCGGAAAAATGAGAACTTGGAACAGCGAATACAATATGATAATGTGAGAGAGGAAGTCATTGTGGGATTGATTTAACATCAGAATAGACTGAAGAAGGTGACTTATTGTAATTAACACAATTTTAAGTTTCCTGTAAAATAAAAAAAAACAAACAAAAAAAAACTGAAAGCACTGCATAGTTGAGGTGATTGATTTGCGAGTGGAACACTTGTACAATGTCAGACTTTTTTTCTGGATTGTTAACTGCAAACATTTACTTCATTGTAAACTCCATCCATTTGAAAATGATGAAAGATAAATTATCAAAGGCCATGTTCCAAGTGCTTGATCTCCATTCTTGATCCACTCCTGGTATGAGGCCAACACTAGAAGGTGGGGTAGCTCCCAGGTGTGAATGTGTGCAACTGTTTAAATGTGAAGCAGAGCACTGCTGAAAAAAAGAAGCCTGAGTGCTCTGCAAACCCTCCCTGGATATATAAAGTTAAAAAAACAGATGAAGCAAAGACTCACACACAACTTTAGGCAGGTGGCAAATGCTAAAAAGTTTCTGTTTTTGCGAGTGACACAAGCAGATAAAAATGAGACCCTTGACATATCTGGACTGAGACGCCCACATACTGTATACTTTACTCAGGGGGGGACCACTTTCCTTGCTTCTCTGCTCTCACTCACTTCCTCTCCTTTCCCATTGCCAGTTATTTAGCAAGAGCTCACAGCCCATGCCGCGTTTGATTCCTTCTCTCTCTCTCTCTCCTTCTCTCTCTCTCTCTCTCCCTCTCAGCGGCAGTTCAAAGGCGTTTGTGTGTGTCTGGTTCCTATTAGGAGCTCGTCCCTCTTCTCACGTCACTGACAGCCAGCCATCTGGGATCCATTGGGCCTAATTACGCCGCCTTTGGATTCCCTAACAATGCACCCCCCACTTCTTCTCCTCTCCTCTCCTCCATAGTTTGTTATTCATCAGTAGCCACCTAGAAATGCACATGAAAATATGTGCATGCAGACATTCATGCTATGCACAGGCCAAAAGGTATACACACTTACATTATGCTCTTCCTTTAAAACCTGATGTTACGTGCTGAACTACTGTCGATTAGACTGACCACCTTAGTAATCCTCCACACCTACACACACTTCGTCATGACACTTAAACTCAATGCATCTGAGCTTTCTCTTGATTGTACTAGAGTCCCACCACCACTCTCGACCACAATATTTCCCCTGTCACTAACACACACCCAAAAACAGAGACACATCATCAACAACCGCACTCTGGCTGGTTTTCTGTTCCATCCTGGAGGGAAACACACAGTCTGGAACACCCCGTCGTCTAAATCATGTATTCAAATTGAATTACAGAACTGGCACCAGAATAGATACTTAATTGCATAAGCATGAATTCATGATGCATTAAATTTTGTCTGTATAGCCTGTTATGCATTTATTCGCACCAGTTAATCCACAGAATGGTGGCAAAGTCCACTGAAAAATTATTCAAACATTTGTGTGATGTATGTTTTTTCAGAAGTCTCTCCTGTGCTGTTTCATGCACTTTGTCCCCCCCCCCCCCNNCCCCCAATTAGATGTTGTTGAAATATGGGGTTTTTCCTCATGATGACATGTGACAAAGGTCTTTAGCCGGATATGCACCCCGGACATCAGAGCTACATGGTATGTGCCTCAAACCACTGGACCACCAGGACACTCCTTTTCCACAGAGCTTTGATACAGGGCAAAGTTTCTAGGGATAACACACAATACGGTACAGTACTACAGTGTGGTTAACTGAGGAAGTTTTACACATGAAAACACTTGCCATTTCCCAAACTGGATGAAAAATACCAAAACCAGACGCCTGCTCAGGAAAAGACCAGTTGTTTCTTAATTAGCATCTAGAGCTCCAGTAAACACTGGACTTAGTGTTTCCGAGCCTGCCTATTGGCTCTATGGATTTTACCAGTATGGGTTAGCTCATTAGCATCTTTCCTTTGACGAGGGGCCCACCCACTGTGTCTACTGCATGCAGAACTGTGTAGCGCTCACATACTGTTTAATCATCTGGTGGTGAGCCAGTGTTGCTGACAGAAACAGTCTGAGTTTATTACAATATAGAGCAGAACCATACTATATTCATTCAGGAAAAATAGCCTGAATGAAAGGAAAAGTGTGGTTAGAGCAAAGGTGTGTTTCACTAACACATGCGTGCATGGTTTAGCTCAGTAATTGATGGAGAGAGCATATCAATGTTTTGTCTAATTTCATCATTTAAAACAAATGGTGTAAATATTGATTACTGCCAACAATTTTTCAAAAGGAAATCGGGAATCAGATATGAAACCTGCTTGAGATACTACAGATGATGCATCGCAGTGAACAGTATCCAACAATACACAATAACTACAGGATAATACAGTCAAAAGTAATGTGTGTCTTATAGGTGTTGCATTCCAGTGCAGCTGTGAAGTTCTGATTTCCAAAATTTGAGAATGAGATTTAATTAGGAGGAGAAAAATAATTGCTTTGAGTTGTCCTCCTGGTACACACACTTGACAAATAACCTTGAAAATGACATAACTCACCTGAAAGCTGATCTGACTGACTGAGTGAAGAGGGACAATACATTTGTTACCTAGTGCATTTGTGTTGGCGGTTTTTAATACATATTCTTTTAATCTTTGAGGGAGGAAAGCAGGTAATGACCTATTGGTAGCTTTCTGACAAGATATTGGAAACCGTGCAATATGCAAATGTCCAGTTAATAGTTCATAGCAAAGCATCATAGCAGCACTTAATACATCAACCCGGCAACCCTTGCAAGCAACACTACATGTAACTGTAATGTAACTGACAAATAAATATCCAATGTAATGTTCTCAGGGTTTTAAGCCTCTTCTAGTTGATTTTTATACTGCAATGACACAAACTGTGCTTGAACATTTAATTTTTTATTTTAAATTGTCAAGCACAACAGTATGGTGAGAAATATGATATGGCTAATAGAGACGGGTTGAGTTCACTCCTTACCTGAATGCAGCCAGGTACTCGGCATCACCCATTGGAGGGTTCAAACCCCCTGTCCATCCTACGTTCACATTGAAGCCCTCGCCTGCACCTGCACCCACCTGGATGGAGGGGGAGAGAGAGGAGAGAGAGAGTGAGACTAAGAAACAGTCTCTGTGAAGATAGTTAATGAGTCCCAGTGAAAGTTGAGAAACTGTGTGACGATGACAGATTTGTGTCAAAACGTTTGCAAAATCAGCACGGCTATTGCACAACCTTGCATTGCAGCAATTGAGGAAAAGTGACTGAATCTCTTTAAGGCAACACCAGGGAGTGATTATGATTTCTAAATGAAAGACGGATGACTATTAATTCAACACCCCTGTCCCTCCATTTTGATTTTGATACAATTTGTCAAATGGCCTTATAAATCACTCTGAGCCACAACAGAGCTACACCCGTTTATGATTCCCAAGCTTTAGGCTATACTGGGAAACATTTCACATGGCAACTGCTGTTTGATATATAAAAACTGTGTATTAGAATCACATTGTGTATGTTGTAAAATGTTCTATTTATATATTGAAAATATATTATTTGAGTTCTTTATGGAAGTTTAGTAGGTTTGGTATATATGACAAATAAAACATACATGGTATACTTATGGCACACACTATAAATCATTTTAGTGGATATTTTAGCTGTATTGAGATTGACGTGCACTCCCAAAATGCCAGGCAGAGTCGATGGAGGTTCTCTCAGTTTGACCTCACATATTTGGGGCAGAGAGTGAACTGAGGCCCGGGTCTTGGAAAGAAGGTTTAAGGATTCCTGCCTCTCTCTTTGTAGTCCTGCTAGCAGCCATTTAGCTGTTCTCCGAGCCCTTCACCATCAGTCAATGTGTCAGTTTGAGGGGAGAATGAGGACTTGATTGACATACTCTTGGCAACAAGGCATTGTAATTTCCTTTGTGTGTGCGTGTGTGTGTGTGTGTGTGTGTATGGGTGTGAGAGGATGTTTGAAAGAATGCTGATGAGCATCGCAGAGCGTCTGTCTCCATTCTTCTCTCAGTGGACGGGATGTTCACAGGGCAAACGAAAAACACATGAGGCCTCCTGTCCTCTGCCAACTAGTAATGTACCCGCATGCACATGCACACGCACACAGACACACAGACACATACACACACACACAATTCCTGCAATTGCTCCAAGTCTCTTGCACTCCTCTCTGTCCTCTTTCTCTCTTTCATGTTTCAAGAGTTGCTGGACTGGATTAGGCCTTCGCTGGTTTCTGTGTGGTACTCGGCACTCTCTGTTATGGCTATGACATCACACCCCTACCCCATGGTGTGTTATATACCTACACGGGGGACAGCGAGACTCCAGAGGTTTACCACACAGCTCAACAGAGGTTGAGGGGCCACTTAAGGCAAAGCCACATCCAAGCCAGCCGAGCGTTTTATGTACCGTCCCTCATCGGGGGATTTTATGGGAAAACATTGACTATTTTATCCTCATTATTGTGGGGGAGGATGGGAGAGTAAGAGGAGGGGATGTGGGGATTGAATGGGTGGTGAATGCCACCATGGGTTGGGGTCAATTCATCTGACTGAGGATAGTCATCACACTTGGTTTCTGGTAAGACCGCAGGCAGAATTCATAGGCATCTCAATTTCCTGTATTCAAACATAGGCATGCAATTCGACTGTACACATCCTGTTGTAAGTTTTGACATCTGAAGCCCTGAAGTTTCTTAAATAAACTAGAACTGGGGAAATAAATCTATAGTAGATACACAAAATCAAGTGATGGGCTTACGGTGAGTTCACTGGATAAACACATTTGCAGAGGGGAAACAATGGCGTAACTCATTTGATTGAAAACTGATTGGCAAATAATTTGCCAAAACATAAAATTTGGGAACGTCACGTTGAGTCAAAAGTCAAAAAGTTATCATGCAAAAAAAGACAATGCAATAATGATAAATATGATATTCTAAATTGTATGTAAGTTATTAGTTAAGCCAGAAAAACACTAAAACAGAAATTCTAAATTCTAAATTCTAAAACACTTAAATGACATTTTTAGATTAAACTCGAAGACAAGCACTTTGTGTTCAGATTTATATTGTAACCAGCTCAAATTACAGGATCACATTGCTTAGATTCCAGTGGTATAACTAAAATGTGTTTTATCTAATGACCGCTCTGACTGGTCTGAGGCCCAATCGTAGGCAAGATACTGTATTTTATCTAACCTGTTTCATTTTTTTCCCTATGCAATGCAGACTCTGCGAGCAGTCATCAAGACCAAATTGCAGCTGCAATTGGGGCTTTAAATCATGTAGATCATTCCTGGATTTATTGCTACAATCATTTTTTCTGTTTTGACAAGTATATGCTAACACACAGCTCTTGAGCTTCCTAATGTCCCACTGGAATCACATAATTACCAAATATTTCTATGCCAACATATTTATCTTCATAAGAGACATGGGTGGTATTATTATAAATTCTGTATTCTTAGGTCAAGTAACATTTTTAAAAATGGCTGTATTAATGATCCAGAATCCACTCAGATCAGCGCCTTTACAAAGAGAACCTGCATTATACGTTTAAATGTTTCTCATGTGTGGTTCTTAAGCTATTGTGTGTTCACAAGAATCTAAGTACATGCAGAGACACACAAACACGCAGACATCACCATGACAACAGTAACAAAAGCACACAAACACAGCACTTCTGTGGAACACTACCTACCTCACTGGGATGTCCACTACCAGGAAAGAAGTTGCCATCGTCATAGCGATGTAGGGAGATGTACAGCACATTTGGGTCATTATAGAAGGCTCCCTGGGTGCCGTTGCCATGGTGAATATCCTGGACAATGATTAGATGACAGGTTAGGAAGTTGCCAAGGACCGAAGCAGGTATTTCAAACATAATTAAAACCTTGATTGATTCACATACTTGTTGAAAACTATCTAAATGAGCACAAATGACAAAAACATAACAAGAACTTCATTGTGTATTCTCTTATGCGTGAAGTATACATAAAACAGAACCCAAAATGCAAAAAGCAGGGTCTGTAAAACCTGCAGGGCTTTTCTCTGCCAATGGCAAATGTGTTTTAATCTTAAAAGCTTTTTGATGAAGCAGGCAGTAATTAATGTTTGATGTAGTAATATGTCAGAGAACACGGTGTGTGTAGAGACATAGTTCAGGCTCATATACACACACATGGTGAACAGAGACAAGCACCTGGCTGAGGATCAATATCTCCACATGTGTGTGTAGGTGTGTGTTCATATGACTGTGTGTGACTCTGTGTCTACTCTAAGCATACGTGACAGTTCAGATCACACATGGACACCAGAGATATCAGTGCCTAAATGAACTAAATCATAAATACGAGTGCTACTGTAGAAGTCTCTGCTTCTGGGACCTTGTTTGTGCCCACGATACATTTGTGTTAGGTGCATGTTTGTTTTTGTGTGTTTATTCGTCTCCATGTGGTGACCAGTGATGCTGGTCATGCGGTGGGTCCTCACCCAGTCCACGATGAGGATCTTGCTGACGTTGAGTTTGTGTTGGAGCTGCTTGGCAGCGATGGCCACAGAGTTGAAAAAACAGAAGCCCCTGTGGACAAACAGACAGGAAGAAAGGCAGCCACATGTGTTAATCTGGACATCTTCAGCAAATTAATATCATAAAACCACCATATGGACCTTAGGAACCTCTAAGACATGTTTCCAGCTCTGTGGCGTCATGTGGTGGCTATTCAGGTCGTGACAATCAGTGCCGACTCTAATGTGCAAATCATGAGGAAAACTCCTGCCAGGCAAATATTTGAGAAACGATTTGAGAAATGAGGATGTTTCACTTCGTGTTATTTTGTATTTCATATTCCACTGCTGACAAACAAAATGGCATTATACCGAGTCTAAACTCTTGCACTCTGAGACATGCAGAAACCGCAAATTTTGTGACAAACAGAAAGCCAAGCTTATCATAAAAATTCACTTTACATTCCAAATGATAACAGCGTGAACTGTTGGCAGAACGTGTGAGATGATTTCAGAGAAATGAACTCAGAACTTGGCCCAGCAGTTCCCACAACACTCAGTGTCTACAGTAAAGGTATGCAAAAAAAGTGTTGATGTATGAAAAACAATGGAGGAATGTTGGAAGTGTCAGTGTCAGCATGGGTCGTAAACTGTGAGTGCTTTTGCGTGTGTGTGTGTGTGTGTGTGGACGGTATATCATATATGCTGTCCAAACTGCTCATCAAGAAAAGTCATTATCATCCCATAAATAACCAGTGACAAGCACTGCTGAGCACACACACAGTCCCAGCTGAATGTGGTTACTTGGCTAATCTCTCCTATCAAAGACTGACACAAATGCATGCACACAAATACGTCCACACACACACACACACACACACAAAACACCTTTTTTCTAGGTGCTTTGCTTTGTGTCTTTGAAAGTTTAAAAGAAACTGAGTGGAGGAGGTAGTTTGCCTCAGGCATCAGGCAGGTAGCACACATCACACAAAGTCACACACAAAAACACACATTAAGACAGAGAGACATAGTCTCTCACATTCTCTCTCTCTCTCTGAAGTGAAGCTGATCTATAATAAATCCTTTGAAACACTTTGCAGAGACCTCCTGGCTCCTGGTATGTGTGTGTGTGTGTGTGTGTGTGGGTGTATACTGCTGTACTTACAGAGGGGAGGAGTGGTTTGCGTGGTGTCCAGGGGGCCTCACCACTGCAAAGCCATTCTGTGAGAGAAAAGCAAAAACTTTAACACCTTACTGCTTTCAGTGGCCAACCATCACAGTTCACATCTTTAAGCTTACACCTGGTTGTTCTGTTGTACACACTGTACGTTATGTTAAACAACAGCTGTCTGGGGCCAGTTACCAATGCTATACTGTACTGTATGTAATGGTTGTTTACCCCATAACCTACTAAACTGCAACTCTGAAATTCCTGAGAAAACACATGGCATTTGCTGATAAGGTATTTAATAATAAATACACACCTTCAGCTCTCCTTGTGCCACCTTCAGTGCCAGCTCTGTGACACATCCTACAGCAATACGGGACGCTGTTGATGTGTGAGCTTCATTCCAAACTGTATCAATATCTACCTGTCAGTATAACAGTAATGAGACACATACAGTCAGTTCAAAAGTCGGGCACAGATGTTAACTGAAGATGCAATTAGAAAGTTATTTCTGTTTGAATGGTTGGAAAGTTGCTGCATGTTTGTTGCAATTAGTATCAAACTTGTCAAAACTGGACTCAGTGTCAACTGATTCAACTTCACTACAAGTGACTACTACTAAAATCCAGTAAAACCAGTTTGCAGAAAGAGACAGTCCTGGAAACTGGAAAGGAAGAGAAGTCAGCTATTCATAGTTCTGTCTATGAGGATTTACATTCATGAAACTAACAAAGTTTACTTATCTCACTGCACTTCCTTTATTATCAAATAATGAATGACAGGAATCGATCTATTCTTTTAATCTATTCTTACAGTGCAGTGTATTAAAAAATGAAAATGTGTGACAGTGGACCTTTAACACTGTGGATACTATCAACATCTTCTTCAGGCTTCTTTTTTTATATCTACTTTCTCTTTGTTGCATCAATTCTCTCTGTAAACCCCGTCTTTTGTTTCAATGTTACTCCATGTTTCAAAACTCACATTGGTGGTGTGCTGCGGGGGAACAATGAAATCAGAGGAATTTCTTTTATCACAGACTTTGCCATCTTGTTCCAATCACCCCTCTTCACCAGAGCAGCCAAAGGCCCGGAAATCCAGGCAGATCAGTCGTCTTATCAACTCACACCCTGCCCCCTTCTTCTTTTCCTACCTCCTCTCCTCTTCTGTCATTGTGCTTTACAACAGTTTCTCATGGGCATTATTATTTGTGCTTTGCCACATCAGATGTCTTTAGGTCCATTTTTATCCACTTCATTTTTCCTTCTCTCATAGTCCATTGTTAAATTCCATCTATTCTTCTCTCCTACTTTCAAATGTTATCTTCTTTTTCAGTATTCACATTCCTTGTTTGCCCAGACCCATTCCCTCTAAATAAAATCCAGTTTCACTGGCGCGCACCCCTCCATGCTGGAGTCTCTACGTGTACCCTTCCGCTCTTTCTTCTACATCTCACCTTTGTACAGCTTTTGATTTCTGATTGAGTTTCAAAGTTATCTTAGCCAAAAACAATAGCATTAGTAATTTGTAGTATTATTAGCTTAATTGTGTAATGAGGCATAATCAGCCATGTAATGTTTGCTGTTCAGTAATGCAATCAGATAAGTGGAAAGATTCCCCAATGACTTGTGTTTTAAAGGTGTGTGTGCGTGCATGTGCGGGCCTGTGTGTGTGTGTGTGTGTGTGTGTGAATATCTGTGTGCGCCGTGTGTTTGGTACTTACCCCAACTCCCCTACATGGTAACACCACAAAACTCTGTTGAGATAAGATTCCTGCAAGAGATCATTTATGGTATTGAACTGTCATGGATAATTATTATCAGTATTATTATACAGCATTATTAGTATTTTTTTTGTAATAATTATTGATATTACCTGCCAGTTTGCGGTTATCTAGCTTGAGGCGGTTGAGTGGGTTGGTGCCAAACAGAAGCACATGTTTCTCTGAATGGACTGACTGCAGCTCTTCTAGAGTGGCCTTCCTACTGCGGATACGCTACACACAGGACAGAGAAATATATATGCTGCATGTAATACTGACTCAGGGGTATGCATCTATCAGTACATGGTGTGTATGTATCTGAGTGTGTGTGTGTGTGTGTG